AGAGATGGCCATGAAGTGGCAGGCATCGGCTGGGCCATGGCTGAGCCGATCCATCCGGGGTTGGAATATTTCAAAATGTCCACCTTCACTCACAGAATTCTATCAAAGGCATGCAGCCCAGGGGTACCGTACTCAAGATAATAATTGCACGTCTAGTTGGTAATCAGTGAAATAATCAACATTATGCTACAATCACATTCATACTTACGGGAATTCAATCACTTTTGACCATTTTTGCAAAGCCAATGCTCGCAAACTATCAGCGGTCAAAGCCTTCCCGAGGCGGTACATGCCAGAGTAGGGTCTTAAGAATACTGGGACGTTGAGGGAGGGTTTTGACCGCAACTAAATTGGACGCAGTGGCCACCCAAAGTCAGCAAAAACGGCTACTTTGTGAGATTCATTCACTTTTTGACCATTTTGCGAGACCACTGCTCGCAAACTATCAGCGGTCAAAGCCTTCCCGAGGCGGTACATGCCAGAGTAGGGTCTTAAGAATACTGGGACGTTGAGGGAGGGTTTTGACCGCAACTAAATTGGACGCAGTGGCCACCCAAAGTCAGCAAAAACGGCTACTTTGTGAGATTCATTCACTTTTTGACCATTTTGCGAGACCACTGCTCGCAAACTATCAGCGGTCAAAGCCTTCCCGAGGCGGTACATGCCAGAGTAGGGTCTTAAGAATACTGGGACGTTGAGGGAGGGTTTTGACCGCAACTAAATTGGACGCAGTGGCCACCCAAAGTCAGCAAAAACGGCTACGTTGTGAGATTCATTCACTTTTTGACCATTTTGCGAGACCACTGCTCGCAAACTATCTGCGGTCAAAGCCTTCCCGAGGCGGTGCATGCCAGAGTAGGGTCTTAGGAATACTAGGACGTAGAGGGAGGGTTTTGACCGCAACTATATTGGACGCAGCGGCCACCAAAAGTCAGCAAAAACAGCTAGTTTCTGAAATTCATGTGACGCCGTGTCAAGCAAACTTTGCGTCAACACTGCTCCCAAAGCAAGGCGGGAAATCGCAGAGGCTCTGGCGCCGACGGTGCTGGCTCACTGGGAGTGCGGGCCGTGCGGGCCGCTTCCTCTTCGCAACGCCTACCGCCTACCGAATCCGCGGCCGGTAATCTACCATTGTGCGCCATTGTCCTCTCCACTACACTGTCATACCGTCACGAACGAGTCTCCAGGATGATCCGCTCTCATCCACTGCGGTCCCCAGACTGCCGGCACGCCCAGCTGCGTCCGGCCCCGCCCACGCCCCTGTGCCTGCACTCGTTTACGTCGACCGATCGCTTTTGGTGCTGGCCCCAGCCTAATCTCCGAGTGTGCATGTCACTTTCTTCGCTCTCTTCAACGTAATCCTCATCGCCGTCGTCATCTTGTTCGTCGCCGTGCTCTCCACCGGCGTGCTCTCCGCCGGCGTGCTCTCCACCGGCGTCCTCTCCACCGCCGTCCTCTCCACCGCCTTCCTCTCCACCGCCTTCCTCTCCACCGCCGTCCTCTCCATCGCCTTCCTCTCCATCGCCTTCCTCTCCACCGCCGTCCTCTCCACCGCCTTCCTCTCCACCGCCATCCTCTCCACCGCCTTCCTCTCCACCGCCGTCCTCTCCATCGCCTTCCTCTCCACCGCCGTCCTCTCCATCGCCTTTCTCTCCACCGCCGTCCTCTCCACCGCCTTCCTCTCCACTGCCGTCCTCTCCACCGCCTTCCTCTCCACTGCCGTCCTCTCCACCGCCTTCCTCTCCACTGCCGTCCTCTCCACCGCCTTCCTCTCCTCCACCCCGCCGCTGCTTGCGATCTTGTCCCGTTGGGGTCGCGTCGGGAATGTGCCCTGCCCTGCCCTGCGTCGCGGTGTGCGCCGTGTGCTCTAGGCTACGCCACGCCGCGCCACGCCGCGCCACGCCGCGCCGTGGACTCATACGGGTTGCGGATGTCAACCCAACCTCCCGAGCGCGGCCGCGCAGCCCGCCGGCCCGCCAGCCCGGCGCAGTGTAGGCATTGCGGGTCGTTGGGGCGTTGGCCCTGCCGGGCCCTGCTTTGCTAGCGCTTGCTCCACTGCACTGTACGACGGCCTACGGTCGTACGGTCGTTTGCTAGACACAAGCAGCGCGCCGTCAGCACCGCGACGACGACCACGACGACGACCACGACGTCCACAGGCATGCGCACGGGGCTCGAGGGCGCGGCGGCCGAGGCGGCCGGGGCGCTGGGGGAATTTCAGATGAGAGAGAACTGTGCACAGTGGGCCAGAAGACCGGCGCAGGCGGCCAAAACTTTAGACGCCTTTTGAGCTCCAGGGCCGCTAGGTGGGACCCGAACCGAACGAGTGATCCCACCAATGGGTTGCTCTCCGAACGAGGAATGCATTGGTGGGGTCACACGCTCGGTTCGAGTCCCGTTTGGCGACTCTGGAGCTCAAAACCAGAGTTTTGGCCGCCTGCGCCGGTCTTCTGGCCCACTGTGCCCTGTCTTTTTGCGGGCCGCACCGCGCACCGCGCATAGACTCACGACACACACAACTTTCCCATCTCCTACTGTTAGGTGGTCTCAAGAAGGTGCGCTGCGCGCGTGTGGTATGTGCGTGCGTGTGTCCGCGCGCGCGCCTCTGTGTGTGTGTGTGTGTGTGTGTGTGTGTGTGTGTGTGTGTGTGTGTGTGTGACAGAGAGAGTCCGCGTCTGTGTGTGCGTACGTGTTTTGGCCCCGCCAAGTGAAAAGGCATCATGTGCCGTTTGTAAGTATGTGTGTGCGAGGCGCGGCGGTGGTATGGCACGCGACGCCGCCCCGCCCCGCCCCGCCCCGCCTCGCGACCGAGTGCCCCGTACCGGGTAGCCGCGAGCGGGGCGGGGCGGGCGGGCGGGGCGGGGCGGGCGGGGCGGGGCGGGGCGGGGCGGGGCATTGTGCGTGGGGTGACAACGGCCCAGCTTTGTGCACCGCTGCATTCCACACTAGTGCACTCACCGCCCCGCCCCGCCCCGCGTCCGCTATTTTAATTGGTCCTATAGCGGCGTCGTCCCGGGCGAAAGTGTTGTTATCCCTTGCCTACGCACCAAAGCGCAGCGCGCCGCGACGCCGCCGCGACGCCGCGACATCCGCCACACTGCCACGCGGCCTCACAGCCACGCACCGGGGCCTGCACTGTTCTCTGCGATGTCATTATGGAGAATAGCGGTTATACTGCATTTTCATCTTGCGTTTTATTATTTTTGTTGTTGTTGCTTTCTTTTTCCTCGTGTGGTTTCTGTCGGTTGCACTTGAAAAGTGCAACGAGATCGAGTGCAAATCGCTATTTTGGTTCAACCATAAAAAGTGACATACGAAATAAGTTCTGAAGTACAAAACTTCCAGAGAGCAATCCCAGTGTTGCCTGAATACCGGCGGTCTCTGTTTAGTGATTTGTCGGGTGTGGGCTTTGGAGTGCTGACGCGTGATCTGCGTTTTAATCAGTCTGTCAATTAGGCATTCAAGGATTCAAGGGTGCCTGCAGTGGACCCCACAATTAAGTTATGCGTCGGGGGTCCTGGCCGCGCCGCGCTGAGTGCGTCGGCACGGACGGCCGGGGCGGGGCGGGGCGGGGCGGGGCGGGCACACTATAACGCCGCGGCCTAATCACTTCCCCGAACACCGTTTTACAGTTGGCACAAGTGCAACGCTCCCTGCCTAGGCACCTCAGCTCGCTAGCCGGCCGCGCTGCGCCGCGCTGGCAGTGAAGACACTTTTAAGCCCTTTTTCAGGTTGCCTGGCATTCGCCTGGCATGCGTTCAGGAAGAGGTCACTTTGAGGCCCGGCCTCGCAATCCACTCCCAGGCCACTTCCCGACTTAAAGTCCCTTTCCAGGTCAGCAAATCCGACTGGAGCATCTTCCCGCGTCTCTGTCGCTCTCAGGGAAGCGCCAGCCACTGTTAATCCTCCGTCGAGTCCACTGCAAACTGGCGTGCTTCCTCGCGCAAAATGATTCGAATTTTTGGCGCATTTTGACGCGAGTTCGGCTGGCCGCGTGTGTGACCGGCGATGACCCTCGGCGAGGTTCGTCGCTCTGTCTCCCTCGCACCCATACAGGCCTGCGGGCCGCCCCGGACCGCCCCGTGAGAGCGAGAGAGACAGCGACAGGGCGTGCTATCTTAACAGCACGGCCTATTAGCATAGCCAGACACAGTTCTCTCCTCCCGGGCCTTCGGGCCTTCCCAGGCAGTCCTATCGGCCGCCAGGTGTGATCCGCTTTATGGTATTGATTCGACTAGTTAGCGCTCTGTCTCTCTCGCACTCAAACCTGTCTTACGGCCGGGTAGGCCGGCCCGCCCGCATCCGTGCGGACGGGTTGCCTAACCCGGTCTCGTCAGGCGCTCTGGACTCTCAGTCGCCCCGATCCACTTCGCCTAACCCCCACAGCCTCTTGATTTCTACCCCACGCAAGCTCACCCCGTTTGGTCTCACTTGCCATCTCACTCGATCTTGCTGCACTCTATCAACCAGCTCTCACCTCACACCACTTTATTTCTCACTCCGTCTTACCCCACACTCGATCTTACCCCACACCGCCTTACCCCACACCGCCTCGATCCACCTGCAGGCAGACTCGCTCTGCCTCCCTCCCACCCACGCGGGGCTGCCGGGGCGCCCTGTGAGTGCGAGAGAGACAGAGAGGCGCCCGTTCGGAGCCGCTCCGCCGTGATGTATTACTTTCATTATTTACTTTGCCGGTGGGTGGTGCACTGCCTGCAGACTGCCTGGCAGTGCCTGCGAGGCGCTTCTATCGTCTATCCCTCTCCCTCTCGCTGGATCAATCCCCCCTCCCCCTCCCCCCCCCCCTTGCAGTGGGCGCCGCGGCGCGTCGACCACCGCGACGACACCAGCGAAGCGCGGAAAACGCAGCCCGTTCTTTTTCTGATTTCCACGCACAAGTCGAAGAAGAGCATGACGGCGTCCTCACGCGAGGCGCTGCCCGGAGGAAGAGGGCGCCATTGTCGGACCATTTTAACCCTTTTTTTCGTGTCTCGTTTCAGGCGACGCGGAAGGTGGCCAAGTGTGGATACTTGTTCGTGGCGCCCGGCTGGGACTTCAGCAACCCGCTGAACCGCACGAAGGTAAGCGCGACCGACCTAAATTAGACCAACAAAAAAATAGACCTACCTATTTTTTACCAACCTAAAAAAAATTCAAAAATTCAACCAAAAATATTGGTATTTTTGACCGACTAAGTTAGTAGAAATATTCCAGGTTCTATCATCTTCCAAAAATTAGAAATTAGAAAACGGAAAGAAAAATGTGGAACTCTAAACCCCCTCCCCAGTCTTAACGGGGAGGCCTCCTGTTTGACTTTTCTAATTTCTAGAAGATAGTACGCGACTCCGGAGGTGAAAACGCGTCTTGAGTTTTGGCCGGCTGCGCCGGTCTTCTGGCTAGTCCACTGTAGGGCGGCGAGGCGTCGTCCTTCCCTCCCAGTGCACGCACTTCTCCTTCTTCTTCTCGTCGCGGCCGTTGGCGCGGCCAGGCTTCCGAACAGTGTCGCTGTCTCTCTCGCACTCGCGGACCGCGCCGCAGGGCCCGCGGGGGTGCGAGAGAGACGGAGAGAGACTGCTGGTGCCGAGCCAATGGCAGGCCGATTACGCGGGGATTAATCGTTGTCACGGCAACACATCCGTCGCGTAGCAAAAGGCTTATGTTATTGGCTCTCGAGTGTGTGTGCGAGAGAGAGAGAAAAGGGGGGGGGGTGCGCGCATTGAGGCGCGGTGAAGAATTGGCCCGTGCACGTGTTGCAGATTCCTTCTGATTGCCAGCACGCTTCCTGTCGCGGCCCTTGGCGCGGCCAGACGTGCGGCGTGCTTGCAGTTCGCTTGCAGTTCGCTTGCAGTTCGCTTGCAGTTCGCTTGCAGTTCGCTTGCAGTTCGCTTGCAGCGCGCCAACTTGCTTAAACACGACACTATGTAAAATGAACGGCCCGATCGCGGAGCGGCTCACACACACACATGCACCACTATGCCACGCGGTGACGGCGTTTTCTTTTGCAGTGTGTGAGCGGCATTGACGCCCGTTACCGTGTGTGAGGTGAGGAGGGGAAGGGCGGAGGCATTTCGCGATTGCCCCGTTTCGTACACCTGCGCGACGCTCTTGCTGTGTGTGTGTGTGTGTGTGTGTGTGTGTGTGTGTGTGTGTGTGTGTGTGTGCTTTGACCCCGCGCGTTGCGTCACCGGGCAGGGCGAAGGTCTTAATTCGTAAGGTCAGGTCGCGGATCGCAAGGCAGGCACACTGCAGGCACACTGCAGGCACACTGCAGGCACACTGCAGGCACACTGCAGGCACACTGCAGGTAGGACTAGAAGGTGGCGGTGCGCGGTATCAGGCCGATGACTCAACACGCCGCCGGCCGGCCGGCCAGTCCGCTGTCTCTCTCGCACCCCCGCGGGCCGGCTAGTGAGTGCGGCAGAGAGAGAGAGAGAGAGAGAGAGAGAGAGAGAGAGAGAGGGGGGGGGGGGCTCCCCGCGCACGGAATCAAGGGGGCCGTCGGGATGCCTCGGCAGTGCTTTTCGTCGCTCTGTCTCTCTCGCACTCGTCGGGCGGCCCGCAGGCCCGCAGGGGTGCGAGAGAGACAGAGCGACGCCCTCGACCTCGGCCCTTCCCTTGCCCTGCCTGCCCTTCTGGCGCCGCCCCTCCCCCCGCCGGTAGGCCGCATTGAATACCTAATGCTGACACGCCGGCCAGATAAATATGGCAGATACCACCAAATCGTACACGACGCCGCGGTGCCCTGGCGGTGCCCTATGGTGCCGAGTCGACGCCGTGGTGCCGCGGTGCCGCGGTGCACTGTCATCGCGCGGCAGACCCAAGCGTCTGTCTCTGTCGCACTCTCGGGGCGCCACCTGCGGGTGCGAGAGAGACAGAGCGACGGCTCTCGGAATCAGTCTGCAGGCGCTGCCCTGCCCGGCCCGGCCCGGCCCGGCCGGTGGACAACACCTGATCATACACGAGCAAACGGTGTCACCGAGGCGGGGCGGGGCGGGGCGGGGCGGTATGTATGCAGTTGGTGTAGTCGCTTTCACCGCCGCGCTGTAGCTCTGCCTGTAGCTCTGCCTGTAGCTCTGCCTGTAGCTCTGCCTGTAGCTCCTTTTCCACGCGGTCGACGTCTACACCCTTGTCGCATTTGCGTCGCCTGCCCGGCCTGCCCGACGCAAACTAGGAACGCGCGGACACAAACGGGGCCGAGGCGGCGCGCACTGCGCGGACGACAACAAAACGCAACGACGAAAAAAAAACGTCCCGCGCTGGTATTCGAACCCGGGGCAGCAGGCTGCGCTGCGCGCCGCGTACGGGGAGAAATGACGGCCGCGCTACACTGCGAGGGTTTTATTAGAATGTTAAACGCGACATTCCATTCCTTTCCATTCCGACGGAGCGAAAAGTGATTCCTTGCAGTGGCGCTGCGCTGCGCTGAGGCTGGCGGCTGGGAGGGACAGCCTGGAACAGCCAACCAGTGCTATGCGATGTGTGGCACCTGACGCAAGCAACAGCAGCAACAGCAACAACAACAACACGGCAGCAGTCTGGAGGCAGGGCAGGGCGAGGCAGGGCAAGGCGAGGCCCCGGAGGCCCGACCGGTCAGACCTGCCCTGCCCGCTGCCCGGCGCTGCGGCGCTGCCTGCTGGTCTGCCAGGCCAGTGTGCTGGTGGCACCGGCCAAGGCACCGGCCAAGGCACCGGCCTGGTGCGGCTAGTGCAGGCTAGCGGTACCCTTGTTATTATCGCTGGCCGAGCCCTGGCCGAGCCCTGGCCGAGCCTAGCCCTGCTGGTCCTTCCCCCTCCCCCCTCCCCCCGCCGGGAGCCGCCTGGGCCGCCGCCCTGCACCTGTTCTGGCGATACTCCTTCCCTCCCCCTCCCTCCCCTCTTGCACCGTTATCGCTGGAGCGTGCCGCTTATCACTGGGCGCTGGAGCGGTTGTCATCTGGAGTGTAATGCGACGCCCCGCCCCGCCGCGCCCCGCCGCGCCACGCCCTGCCGAGCTACCTGTCGCCTGCACTGTTAGAGGACCGACACTCTCAGAGGACACACGTTCGTTTCGAGGCCTGTTTAGCGACTCTGGAGCTCAAAACGCGTCTAGAGTTTTGTCCGCCTCCACCGGTCTTCTGGCCCACTGTGCGCCGTGCCCGGCCGTGCCCGGCCGTGCCCCGGTTTCGCCCTGATGCGCCACGCAGCCAATCTAGTGCTGCCGACCGAACAACAACAAAAAAGTGCCGGAAGTAGAATGCACCTTCGCCTTCAGCGCTCTGTGCGGGTCCGTCTGTCGCAACACGCAGTCACGCACGCGGGCCCACTCCCTGCCTTCCAACACGCGGGCGAGTCTCCCTGCGCCCAAAAATCTGTCCTGGAAAGCATGGAAACTCCGCCGACAGTTTTTATTTTTAGCAGCACTAGATTAAAAGCACTGCATCCGATTCTCTTATTAGGCATCGCGATCGCACTGTTTTAAACAAACCGCTGATGAAATCGCGGCACGTAACGGAATCGCATCGCCCCTTCCGCTGCCGCTTTCACCACACACACACACACACACACACACACACACACACACACACACACACACACACGGGAAAAATTGTTGGTGTAGGTCAGTAAGTTGTGGTCGGCACAATGAGGGTTAGGAAAAGAAAAGCGATCCATGACGCACATGCAGAGGCAGGCAGGCCCGGGGCGGCGTACTTCATAGCTCTCTGTCTCTGTCGGACTCGTGAGGTGTTCCGTAGGGGTGAAAGAGAGAGAGAGAGAGAGAGAGAGAGAGAGAGAGAGAGAGAGAGAGGGGAGAGGCCGGCCACCGCAACAGCGACCGCACCGTATATCGGCAGCAAGCTTGGACGTTTCGCTCTATTAAAATCGAGCAGGGCCCCGCCGAAGCAGACTGGAGCCTTCCATTTTTAATCTACTTCCTTTCTTTCTCGCGGCGCCCCGGCGCCCGTCTGTCCGTCCAGCGTCATCGACATCGCCACTTACACTGTGCTTCACCGCCAAGCCTCACCCGAAAGCTTCACCGGCGAGCTCCACCCTTGAGCTTCAGCCAAACGCTTCACTAATCCAAGCTTGACCACTCAAAGCTTTGTCATTCCAAGCTTCACCACTCCAAGCTTCTCCACTCCAAGCTTCGCCACTCTAAGCTTCACCACTCCAAGCGTCACCACTCCAAGCTTCACCACTCCAAGCTTCACCACTCCAAGCTTCACCACTCCAAGCGTCACCACTCCAAGCGTCACCACTCCAAGCGTCACCACTCCAAGCTTCACCACTCCAAGCTTCACCGTTCCAAGCTTCACCATTCCACGCTTCACCATGCCAAGCTTCGCCGCCGCTATCCGCCAACTCTGTTTCGGCTTTCTCCGCGTCATTCATTGAGCGAGTTTAGTGTGGTTTATGGAGCCCGTGGCATTCCACTGTGGCAAGTGCACGCCGCGGTATGCGCGTGCCGTGCCGTGCCGTGCCGCGCCGCGCCGTGCGTTTGGCTGAGCCGCCGCGAGACGCGCGGCAGCCGACAAATGCCGAAGACTTGGTCCCCGCTGTCTCTCTCGCACTCGCGGGGCGTCCCGTACTGGTGCGAGAGAGACAGAACGACTCGTCTTCGGCATCGTTCTGCAGCACTTCGTCTCGATGCATGACGCCGAGCTAACTCGGAAAGCCATTTTCGGTGCCGCGCCGAGCGGTGCACAGTGGACCAGAAGACCGGTGGAGGCGGCCAAAATTCAGAGTCGCTGAATGGGACTCGAACTGAACGTGTGACCCCACCGATGGATTGCTCTTCGAACGAGGAATCCATTGGTGGGGTCACACGTTCGGTTCGAGTCCTGGTTAGCTACTCTGGAGCTCAAACCACGTCTAGAGTTTTGGCCGCCTCCACCAGTCTTCTGGCCCACTGTGCGGTGCTGGCGCCGATCCCGCGAGTGAGCTAGCCGCGGAGTATCGGGGGCATATCGCGCAAACAGCGCGAGTTTGACGCCCGGGCGCGCCAAGGCGGCTAGCACGGCAAGGCGGCTAGCCAAGCAGGTCGCTCGGCGTCTTTTGACCGACCAGGCCGCCCCGCCCCGCGCCGCCGCAGTGTTCCCCTCGGT